AAAAGCAGGGGTTGCAATACTAGTCTCTGATAAAACAGACTTTAAGCCAAAAAAGATCAAAAAAGACAAAGAAGGGCATTACATAATGGTAAAGGGATCAATGCAACAAGAAGGGCTAACTATCCTAAATATATATGCACCCGATACATGAGCACCCAGATTTATGAAGCAAGCCCTTAGAGACCTACAAAGAGACTTAGACTCTCACACAATAGTAGTGGGAGGCTTTAACACCCTGCTGTCAACATTAGACAGATTAATGAGACAGAAAGTGAACAAGGATATCCAGGAATTGAACTCAGTCCTGCACCAAGTGGACCTAATAGACATCTACGGAACGCTCCACTCCAAATCAACAGAATATACATTCTTCTCAGCACCACATAGCACTTATTCCAAAACTGACCACATAGTTGGAAGTAAAGCACTCCTCAGGAAATGCAAAAGAATGCAAATCATAACAAACAGTCTGTCACACCACAGTGCAATCCAATTAGAACTCAGGATTAAGAAACTCACTCAAAACAGCTCAACTACATGCAAACTGAACAACCTTCTCCTGAATGAAACCACCTTCACCTGGGTAAATAACAAAATTAAGGCAGAAATAAATAAGTTCTTTGAAACCAATGAGAACAAAGACACAATGTACCAGATCCCTGGGACACAGCTAAAGCAGTGTTTAAAGGGAAATTTATAGCACTAAATGCCCACAGGAGAAAGCGGGAAATATCTAAAATCAACATTTTAACATCACAATTAAAAGAACTAGAGAAGCAAGAGCAAACACATTCAAACGCTAGTAGAAGGCAAGAAATAACTAAGATCAGAGCAGAACTGAAGGAGATAGAGACATGAAAAACCCTTCAAAAAAATCAGTTAATCACGAATGGCGAGTAGCCGCGGCGGCGGGAGGGAGAGGCGCAGGGGAGGTTTTCCTGGTTTCGGACCCCACTGGCGGGATGGTGAAATCCTCCCTGCAGCAGACCCTCAATAGCCACTGCTTCGCCAGAGAGAAGGAAGGGGATAAACCCAGCGCCACCATCCACGCCAGCCGCACCATGCCGCTTCTAAGCCTGCACAGCCCCCAGGGCAGCAGCAGTGAGAGTTCCAGGCTCTCCCTCCGCTGCTGTAGTAACCCGGGTCGGGGGCCTCCGTGGTGCTCCTGATGCCCCTCACCCACCCCTGAAAATCCCAGGTGGGGAGGGAATAGTCAGAGGGATCACCATCTTTCAGCTAACTTATTCTACTCGGATGATTGGCTGAATGTAACAGAGGAAGTAATGTCCAACGAAAGATGAGGATTCTCAACCTCCAGTTCAGGCTCACAGACGCCAAACGCATTAACTGTGGAACAGTGCTGAGTGGCGGCAGCCTCTACATAGAGATCCCGGGCGGCGGCTGCCTGAGGGGAGCAAGGACAGCTTTGCAGTTCTCCTGGAATTCGCTGAGGAGCAGCTGCGAGCCAACCATGCCTTTCTTCATTTGCTTCCACAAGAAACCACCAGGACAGAGCTGCCTTGCTCTGAACCTTCAGCTTTTTGGGCTTTGAGGTTGTGAGACCGGGGCATCCCCTTGTCCCCAAGACACTGGACGCTTGCTTCACGGCCTACACGTTCGAGAGAGAGTCTTCGGGAGAGGAAGAGGAGTAGGGCCTCCTGGGGACTGGGCATCCGGCCCTTGGGGCCACCCCTTGTCAGCCTGGTGGGTGGAAACATAGACTCACTCATCTCACCTGGGTTTGTCCGCATGTTGTAATTGTGCAAATAAATGCTCACTCCAAATTAAAAAAAAAAAAATCAATTAATCCAGGAGCTGTGTTTTTGAAGATTAACAAAATAGATAGACCGCTCTCCAGACTAATAGAGAAGAAAAGAGAGAAGAATCAAATAGACACAATAAAAAAAATGATAAAGGGGGTATCACCACTGATCACACAGAAATGCAAACTACCATCATATAATGAACTATATAATACTAAAAACACCTCTTTGCAAATAAACTACAAAATCTAAAAGAAATGGATAAATTCGTAGACACATATACCCTCCCAAGACCAAACCATAAATAAGTCAAATCCCTGTATAGACCAATAACAAGTTCTGAATTGAGGCAGTAATAGCCTACCAACCAAAAAACGCTGAGGACCAGACAGATTCACAGCTGAATTCTATCAGCAGTACAAAGAGGAGCTGATATCATTACTTCTGAAACTATTCCAAATAACAGAAAAAGAGGCATTCCTACCTAACTTATTTTATGAGGCCAGCATCATCCTGATACCAAAGCCTGGCAGAGACACAACAAGAAAAGAAAATTTCAAGCCAATATCCCTGATGAACATCGATGTGAAAATCCACAATAAAATACCAGCAAACTGAATCCAGCAGCACATGAAAAAGTTCAAGATCAAGTCGGCTTCATCCCTGGGATGCAAGGCTGGTTCAACATATACAATTCAATAAACATAATCCATCATATAAACAGAAACAATGACGAAAACTACACGATTATCTCAATAGATGCAGAAAAGGCCTTCAATAAAATTCTACAGCCCTGCATGCTAAAACCTCTCAATAAACTAAATATTGATGGGACATATCTCAAAATAATAAGAGCTATTTATGACAAATCCATAGCCAATATCATACTGAATGGGCAAAAGCTGGAAGCATTCCCTTTGAAAACTGGCACAAGACAAGGATGCCCTCTCTCACCACTCCTATTTAACATAGTATTGGAAGTTCTGGCCAGGTCCATCAGGCAAGAGAAAGAAATACAGGGTATTCAAATAGGAAGAGAGGAAGTCAAATTGTCTCCGTTTGCAGATGACATTATTGTATGTTTGGAAAACCCCATCGTTTCAGCCCAAAATCTCCTTAACCTGATAAGCAACTTCAGCAAAGTCTCAGGATACAAAATCAACATGCAAAAATAACAAGCATTACTATACAGCAATAGTATAAACAGAGCCAAATCATGAGTGAATTCCCATTCACAATTGCTACAAAGAGAATAAAATACCTCGGAATACAACTTACAAGGGATGTGAAGGACCTCTTCAAGGAGAACTACAAACCACCGCTCAAGGAAATAAGAGAAGACACAAACAAATGGAAAAACATTACATGCTCATGGACAGTAAGAATCAGTATTATGAAAATAGCCATACTGCCCAAAGTAATTTACCGATTCAATGCTATCCCCATCAAGTTACCATTGACTTTCTTCACAGAAATAGAAAAAACTTCTTTAAAGTTCATATGGAACAAAAAAAAAGAGCCTGCATAGCCAAGACAATACAAAGCAAAAAGAACAAAGCTGGAGGCATCATGGTACCTGACTTCAAACTATACTACAAGGATACAGTAACCCAAATAGCATGGTACTGGTAACAAAACAGATATATAGACCAATGGAACAGAATAAAGGACTCGAAATAATGCTACACATCTACAACCACCTTATCTTTGACAAACATGACAAAAACAAGCAATGGGGAAAGGATTCCCTATTTAATAAATGGTGTTGGGAAAACTGGCTAGCCATATGCAGAAAACTGAAACTGTACCCCTTCCTTACACCTTATACAAAAATTAACTCAAGATGGATTAAAGACTTAAACATAAGACCTAAAACCATAAAAACCCTAGAAGAAAACCTAGGCAATACCATTCAGGACACAGGCATGGGCAAAGACTTCATGACTAAAACACCAAAAGCAATGGCAACAAAAGCCAAAATTGACAAATGGGGTCTAATTAAACTAAAGAGCTTCTGCACAGCAAGAGAAACTATCATCAGAGTGAACAGGCAACCTACAGAATGGGAGAAAATTTTTGCAATCTACCCACTGGACAAAGGCTAATACCCAGAATCTACAAGGAACTTAAATTTACAAGAAAAAAACAACCCCATCAAAAAGTGGGCAAAGGATATGAACAGACACTTCTCTAAGAAGACATTTATGCAGCCAATAGACATATGAAAAAAAGCTCATCATCATTAGTATTAGAGAAATGAAAATCAAAACCACAATGAGATACCATCTCACACCAGTTAGAATGGTGATCATTAAAAAGTCAGGAAACAATAGATGCTGGAGAGGATGTGGAGAAATAGGAATTCTTTTACACTGTTGTTGGGAGTGTAAATTAGTTCAACCATTGTGGAAGACAATGTGGCAATTCCTCAAGGCTCTAGAACCAGAAATACCATTTGACCCAGTGATCCCATTATTATAAATTATTCTACTATAAAGACACATGCACATGTATGTTTACTGAGGCACTATTCACAATAACAAAGACTTGGAACCAACCCAAATGCCCATAAATCATAGACTGGAGAAAGAAAATGTGGCAGTTACATGCCACGTAATAGCATGCAGCTATAAAAAAGGATGAGTTCATGTCCTTTGCAGGGACAAGGATGAAGCTGGAAACCATCATTCTCAACAAACTAACACAGGAACAGAAAACCAAACACCGCATGTTATCACTCATAAGTGCAAGTTGAACAATGAGAACACATGGACACAGGGAGGGGAACATCACACACTGGGGCCTGTCGGGGGGTGGGCGGTTAGCGAGGGCATAGCATTAGGAGAAATACCTAATGTAGATGACAGGTTGATGGGTACAGCAAATCACCATGGCATGTGTATACCTGTGTAACAAACCTGCACTTTCTGCATATGTATCCCAGAACTTAAAGTATAATTTAAAAAAATAATTAAATACAAGTGAATACTAAGTAAAAGGAGTGGACTGCTGGACTGGAAGATTCAAATATATGACGTCTGCACAAACCACTTTAAATATAAAGCCACGGATACATTGAAAGTAAAATATGAATAAAGTTATACCATGCAAATGGTAAGCATAAGAACACTGGTGTGGCTACATTAACCTCAGACAAAACAGACTTCAGGATATGAGGGACATTTCATAAAGGGAAAAGGTCATTATCAGGAAGACATAAAGTCCTAAATGTATACCCACAACATTGAAAATACATGAAGCAAAACTCAACAGAACCAAAGGAGAAACAGGCAAGGGGCAAAATGATAGATGAAATTATGGACACTATTTTCTCAGTAATTCATAGGAAAAATGGGGGAAAACAATAAGCATACAGAAGATCTTAACAACACTATCAACCAACTAGACTATATTGACATTAATACAACATTACATCCAATGCAGAATACACAAAGTATATAAGTACCTATGGACAGTTAACATAGATAGACTATATACATACATACATTTTCATGTGTGTGTATACATATATAGCACTGATCAAGAGAAGCAAATTTCAAAACAATGATGGAAAGTCATTTTTAGCTATTTTTCCTAAAAATGGCAATAAAAATTACATCACCTAAAACCTTTTATTCATCTAATATAAAAAAGGTCATTCCACAATCTATAAATGCTAAAGATATTTTCTGGAAACTATGACTCACATTATACAGGATGTCCCACAGAAATAATCAACATAATGCACTTATTATAGCAATGCATTAATAAGCCAAATTAATCAGCTACCAAATTGTGCTATATTTCAGCTTCAGTAGAGACAAAGTTCATAAAAGTACGTCGGAATACTATTAGCTTGTGATACTATTTCTCATTAAAATCTATTTTTGAGACAGACTTGAAATGTAGCAAAAAATACTACATATACAAAATAAATATTCAAAGGGAAATATATAACCATGTCTTCTACATAAATATTTTGAAATAAATTATGTTCAATGTGACTCATGTTTTCTGAGAATACAATCCAAGATTACTATTTATTATGTACAAATATAGCACAATTATGTACAAATATTGCACAACAGAACACACTGTACATTTATTTTTGCAAATATCCCATTTAAAAAAATCAATACATGGAATGCCATGAGGCCTGAAGGCCCATCATCGTCCAAGAAGCTATCAGCAGTATGGCCATAGCTGTGTTTTCCATAGTCACTGACTGAAACATAAACTCCTCTTGTCTTCTATACCTTTAATCACTACAGCAATATGCTGTGCTGCTTCTTTACCCAACCCCAAATTCCTCCTGTCCTTCATAACCCCTGTTAGTTCTCTGTAATTCCTAGTCGATGATATAAAAACTCCCAAATAACATCCATCCTCCCAAGTCACTGAAAGGGATCTGGCCCTAAATTTCCTATCTTATGCAAATTCTGATTCTCCCCCAAGCCACATCTTCTATGAAACAGAAGCTGCATTTTCTGCCATACTTCAAGTACATCAGTGGTTAGACAAATAAATTAATATTCTCTTCATTTCCCCATACGTTTTTGGAATTGTATTTCTCCATTTTCCTGAGATAACCCATTCTCCTTTATATTTGTATCATTTGGCTCTATTAAAGATAGTTATCTAACCAACTCTGATCACTCCTGACTCAATATTCCTCTCCATCCCAGTCCCACGGTATATTTATAACTACATAGAAGAGCCAATGAATATCCACCCCCACAGACCTTTGATTCTCTCATCTTCTATGTCTTTCTCCAAAACACTTGCCACCTATTTCAATGGCCATATCCTTATCGCACAAACTACTCCATCCACAAACTACTCTGAAATCGCTAATTTCCTATCTCCAGTCTCAACATTTCTCCTGAAAACTAGATAAATTTCTCCAACTAATCTTCAGTATTTTCACCTGGATATTTCATGCCTACCTGAAACTCAACAATTTAAACTGGTCGCCCTTCCCACGAGGAGTGCAGTAGGCTTAAGCAGATTCCAGCTGAGAAGCTGTAAGAATCTGCGTGTTCTAGGGTTGGGACACTAGGCCCCAGTGGCCTGGATTTTCTAGTGGGATCTTATGATCCATGGGTTGCACAGTTCTGTGGAAAAAGCAGCTTCCCCTTCTGGGTAGCAGTGCTCATTCACTGCGTCCCTTGCTGGGGGGAGGGGGTTCTCCTTTCCCGTGTAGCTCTCAGGTGGGCCACGCACTACACTATTCTTCCTTCTGTCCATGGGTCACCACAGCCTTCTAGTCAAGTTTGATGAGAGAACCTGGATACCTTGGTTGCCAGTGAAGGATTCACACGCTTATTATGTTTTTTTGGGATGGGAGACTCTGAGCCCCACTGTATGTAGTCAGCCATCTTGGCCGCATCACTCCTATTATTTTTACGTCCTTTCCTTTTCTTAATGAATTGGATTGAAACATCAGAATACAGTTATTTAATATAGAACCTTACATGTTTCTGACTATAACAGGTATGCCTAGAGTATTTCCCCATCATAGTGTTTATAATCTGCATTTTATTAGGAATTTTTAAAAAGAAATTATACCTTTGCTATATCTTTCAAGATAATATTCTTTTGTCTACTTACTGATGTGATGAATGATATTAGTAGATCTGTTATTATGGATCCATAATTTCCATCCTGAAATAAATCTTACTCAGTATATTATTTTACTATATAGTATCAGTCAAATTTCTCCATATTTTCTCTTTTAGTTTATGTCTTTTCTGCCTTGCTTGTGAAAGTACTGCCCATCCCAAGATTTTAAAAAGCTAAAAACTTCCACAAATGACATAATAAACACTAACAAAAAATATATTTTCAGACTAGGAAAATATATAACATATCAATAGACAAAGGATCAAAATCTCTCATATACCACTTCAATAATAAAAACCAAACTAAAAAAGGAAAAAGATTATAAACAGGAAATTCACAGAAGAATACACATGCTATATAAATAGAAAAACCAATTGTTTTTCCTTTTCATTCACACTCAACACAGAATACTTCACCTCTGGTTATCAAAATGTGGGAGGGTTCCCACTTCCCACACTGACAAGTTTAACACCAGCTGGGTATCCTACAGTTTAATCCAATCCTGATAATATATCCCTGGAGTTAGCATCAAATCCCATGTGTTAAGGGTTCAATCCCTCAAGATTGCCTCCACTTCAGATATCAATCAAAAGCCTAGATTGTGACCAGTGCTTCTATCTGACCAGCTATATATTGCCAGGGTGGGGAGTGGTGGGAACATGACCCTCTCCTCAGGTTTAATTTGCTAGAGCAACTCACATAACTCAGGGAAACACATTTACAAGTTGATTAATAAAGAATATAATAAAAGACACAGATGAAGAGCTACACAAGGCAAAGTATTTGGGAAGGGGTGTGAAGCTTCCATGCCCTCTTGGGGGCAGGCCACCCTCCCAACACCACATTTCCCATACCCTAGAAGCTCTCTGAACCCTGCAGCTTTGGGATTTTTATAAAGGCTTCATCACATAGTCATTGAGATTATTAATTCAATCTCTAGCCCCTTCCCCCTTCCTACAAGAAAGGAGTTAGAACCGAAAGTTCCAAGTTTCTAATCATGGCTTAGTCTTTCTGGGAGCCAGTCCCTATCCAGGAGCCCACCAAGAGTCATTTTATTAGAACAAAGAGAGTCCTATCACCTAAGAGGTTCCAAGGAATTAGCAGCTCTTTGTCAGAAGCCAGGATAAAAGCTCAGTTATTAGAACCAGAAATACATGTAGAACCCCTATCACTCAAGAAATTAAAAAGGTTTTAGGAGCTGTGTGCCAAAAACTAGGGGTAGAGACCTATATCTATCTCTTATTATTTCTCACACATACTCATACACAAGCATGTATATTACTAATTTGAAGAAAAAATAAGATGATAACCCACATACTGTGTTAGTCATTCACTCTCACACACTGTTGGAGAAACAGGTGTAGCATTCACTCTCACACACTGTTGGAGGAACTATACATTCATATTATCTTTTGGGAGGTTATTTTTGCATCTTTAACCAAACATTTCACTCTAAACCTTCAAAAATTATAAATTCCCCTCTGAAGAACTTCTCCTACAGATTACTGATGTTCTCATAGAATGTACCTCTTCACTACAGCACTGTTAACTAGCGCAACATCGGAACCAACCTAAATATTTACAAATGAAAGGAATGGCTTAATAAATTAACACTGTAATACCATGCAGCTATTTGAAAAAGAGAGATTTAAACATAATGGCCTAGAAAGAGTTCAATGATGAAGTGAAAAAAAACTGAATAAAACTTTTGTCATGTAAATATATAAGTAAGATCTAAAATGATTTGCACCACGCTGTTAAAAGTAGTTATCACTGGAGATGAGCCTGGAAGAGCTTAGGGTTGAATTTTCAACTTTTACTTTACATATATATCTTTTTTTAGTAAGGATATGGATGATTTTTAAATTTTCTCTTGGATTTTTTTTTTAATTCTTTTAAATAATTTGGTGTCTTTAATTTGTTAAAGATTTACGTAAGATTTCTATATGTCTAGTCCTAAGTGAGATCAGTCTGTAGGGTTTTGTGGGGGGGGAGGGGTGTATCTTTGTCCTGTTTAAATACCAAAGTTACACCTTGAATAAATGAATTGATAGTTTTGTTTTCTGTTCCATCAAAGTCTGAACAAAATAAGAATCATTTCATTTTCACAAGGCCTCTTAGAACCTAATTGTAGTTATCTGCATGTTGCATCTTTTGCAAGGGTAGTTCTTGAACAACTTTTCTACTTCTTCCATAGGCTGTTAGTCTGATATCCAGACTCCCTTCTGTAAATAAGTTCAGCTTTCATAACTGTATAAACTTATTTTTCGGAGAAGTTTTACTTACTCTACTGTTCATGTCTTCAATTTCCTTTGCTCGCTGAATTCTCCTCATTTCTAAGACCTGCTCCCTTTTCTTTTGCAACCATGCTTTAAATACTATGTCATTCTCTCTCTTTTTTTCTTTCTCTTCTTCTATTTTTCGTTGCTCTTCCTAGTAAAAGAATATGAAAAGACATTACTAAAAGATTAATAAAATTGTATGAATTATCAGAGTAGAGAGATATATTTTGAGATCTGAAATTAGGATTCCCTGATCCTAAAATTTTCCATCAGAAAATTGGTCCTTCTAGGCCAGACGCAGTGGCTCCTGCCTGTAATCCCAGCACTTTGTGGGGCGAGGCAGGCGGATCACTTGAGGTCAGGAGTTTGAGACAAGCCTGGCCCACGTGGTGAAACCCCGTTTCTACCCAAAATACAAACATTAGCTGGGCTAATTTAACAAGTTTATAGTTAAATTTTCTTCAAATAATGGAATTCTAAGTGTTTTCCTTACATTTTGACAATATAGCAAGACTTTCTAATTCCTTTTGATTGAACAGAAAGAAGAGAGGAAAGGAAAAATTCTACCAAACAGTGTAAAATATATTTGAGAATATCTATATACTATTTTCTGAGCCCTAAAGTAGCCTATATTATAGAAAATATAAATGAATTTATTAAAGATTAAATTTTACATTATTTATACATTTCCATTTCACACAAAGGACTTTGGATACTTTGCATGAATACAGTATGACAAAAGATGATTATCTTTCCAAGGGGAACATTCAGGTATATTACACAGAAGCTAACAGCCAAAGCACTGATCGCTAACGGAGTTGCCAAAGAGAACACTGAAATGATGCACTTAGGTTAGAAAGACAGAGTATAGCAACCCAACCCAGAAAATGTGGGCATAAAAAAGCAAAGCCTTCCCCTGAAACCAACTAAAACATGTTAAAAGTCTTGGTACTTGAAGACCATGTCTTGAGCCAACTTAGTTATAGGATATCGACACAATAAAAGTGTATTTCAGAACAAAGAGTATGACATTCAGAAAAGAGAATCAAAATGAAAACAGAATTATCCATCCCTCACACTAGTTAAAGACTAACATCAGTTCATTAATAAAAAGGCAGTGACAACTATATAAAATCACCGGTATAACTTTTGTAAAAATATACACACATACCTACACATTTGTGTACAGCAAACATATTGATGTCATTCTCAAAAAATTAGTTTGTATTGTCACCAAATTCTTATACTTTTAAGGGTTGTTTTATACCTGAATCAAGTAAACTTAGTTTGACTATTAAAGCTATTAGTGACCAAGTGAGCGAAGCTCTATAAGCATGCACCCTTTTAGGTTCTTATCTGAGTGTGCTAGAGGTTACACGTTCTTACGAAGTCATTTTTCACCTTTTTTTTTTTTTTTTTTTTGCTAATGCCAATTCCTGATTTAAATGCCAGAGATTTCCCTGATAATTTCCCATATAAAGTAGATAACACACCATTTCTCAAGGGTACCAGAGAACTGGAAATTTTTATTCCAGTTTGCTACTAACAAATACAGATATACTTTGGTAAAGTTATTTAAACTTTCCAAGATTTTCCTATCTGCAAAATGATCTGCAAGGTCACTTCTAGTATAGTATTTGCTGAACTTTGTATTTAGAATTAGACATTTTGTATGGCTCAGCTTAATACCATTAGGTTTCCAGTAAAACAAAGAATTGGAGCACTGATATAAGTAATTCTGAGAAAACTCACCAGTTTAAGTCCTGGAATTCTCAATTATAAGATACATAGAGTTTCACATAAGAACAAATATGAAAAACAAAAAAAATTAATTTCTAGAAGGCATTTTGGAGACCTTTCATTAAGAACGTTAGGCTATATTCTTAATCTGAAACTAAAATCCTGGAAGTAAAAGAACTGAAGGCATAGAATATAATATGAAACACATGCAAGTAAAAGAATTACAGTCCAAGTCTTCCTGTTGCCTCCTAAACCTCTACACTTTGTGCCTTCATTTTTCCATCTGACATTTTATTTTTACCTATCATATCAAGATTACTTTCAGCAGTCACTTAACATCTCGTGAGTCTCACCTTTAAAATGAAAGGATCAGATGAAGTCATCACTGAGTTCTCCGCTAACACAGATCAGTCTACTATTCTTTGTGATCCTTACAAGGACCAAAGTAATCACCGTGTTCACTCCATAAATACATATCCTTAATACTTAATCAATCTAACAATAGATAAAGAAATCAAAAGAAGTCTCCAATGGTTTGAACAACTGTTTTAATTCCTATTGCATTTATAAAACAGTAAAACATGCTCTACTTTTAATATAATGCCCACTTAGGTTCTCACCTCTCTTTTCAGCTTTTCTCTCTTTTGTTCTAGCTGTCTTTGTAGTTCTTTCTGTCGAGGGGAAAGACAGTATGTTGAAGTCACTGGTGAGATACGTGCAGACTGTGTCCTGTGATTATATTTCCCATTTCCTTTACTTCGATCTGAGTTGGCAGCAGAGCTTGGACAAGTCTTGCGGTTGAGTGGTGGCTGAGGGATATAAACCAGTGGCTCTCCTGTTGATGAGTGAGTGACAGCATGAATCTTTGCTGCAGAATCTTCTTTCTTGGTGCCACTGACAGAGGAGTTGGAAGATCTGAGTAACAAGTGCTGAGGGTCATTTTCTGTACTATTTGCATTATTAATGGGAGGCAAAAACCCCTGACTCGCAATGTCTTGTAAATTCAGAAGTTCAAATTTTCCATCTCTTTCTACCAGTATTGTCCTATCCTTGTTTTCTTCACAACTTGCATTAGTAAGTGACAGGAGTACATTTTCTTGTCCAAAATCATTGGAAATACATAACTGTGACAGTTTCCCAAACATATTCCTTTCGTTTTCAAAATAATTTTTAGACGTATTAGTGTCTTCTAGTGGAGGAACTTCCAAATCAACTAATTTGTCCTTGAACTTAAGTTTTCGCTCCCTTTTATCATTCACGGGTTCTTGATTCTGTAGAAGCTTGTTAGCTTGTACAATTTTCTCCATAATATATCTCCTTACTTCCTCATCCTCTTCCTCCTCCAAGTCTTTCTGGCTTTCTAGTTTGGATTCCTGGAAAGAGTTTTCGCTATCTGAATCTGATATGGGATCCAAAGGTTGAATACCTGGTACAGAAATTATGTCATTTCTTCTTGGTGAGACCTCATCCTGCAGAGACTTGTCAGGATCAGAATGCTGTTTGGTGTGCTCTATTACTGTTTCATTCTCTTTTAAGTCTTGGTTAATATTCTCTTCCTTCTCACAAGCCATCTAAAAACAAGATATTTTTCAGTCAAAATTGAGATTCTTCATTTATCAGTAGACATACAAAATGGGATTTTCCTGTTCATATAATTTATTTTATGAATGGGAAAATTTAAGTGTTTATTGCTCATAATTTGCTCATAACATTCTAATTCATACTTACGAGTATTCAAGGGAAATACATGTGACAGCAATGCAGGAAAAATTCAACTTTAAATTTGAATTTGATGTTGATTTTTAAACATTTTTATGCTAATGTATCTAACTACAAATAACAATATTAGCATTCCTTTCCCTATAAAATTTTCCTCTCTTCACATTTTCAGAAAAACAATTTTCAAAAATGTTTCCTCCTTGTAATATCTGCATTCTTCAATCAAACATCTTTCTCCCCAGACCATTTCAAAGACGAATTATTTGGTCAAGTCCTAATCACTTGAGGTTCTTTTAATCTTTTCAGACTATTATTGTCATTATAATCTGCAGGACCTATCTACATTCCAGGTCAATTTTTACCTTTAGATCAGATTTTCCTTCTTCAACTATACTCAGAAATTCCAGTAATCCATGCTAACCACCATCAGATAACTTGGCATTACATTAAAAATAATTAATTCCACATGAACCATAAACCAGTATCAGTGCAGCAAAAAACTCCACTCCACTTCTGCTATATCTAACTAAAAGCTTATATATATAAAAATATATAGTATATAAATGTATATAATATAAATATACATAAATATATAATAGATATAATATATAAAGGTATATAATATAAATATTATATATACATTTTTTTCTCTTTGTCAAAGTTCTCTCCCTCCTAAAGCAGTCCTATGGGAGTTACTACATGCTGCTCTCTTCAACCCCTTAAAATCACTTTCCTCCTTCCCTTGCTCATAGGTCATCCTGTGCGGCAGTGAAGGTCATCTTGTCTGATAGTCAGATGTCCAACAAGCAAATAAACCTAGCCCATTAAAATGACTGCCAATTAACTGTGATTTAACTAAGATCTCTGTATCACAATTGTTCATTTTAGCCTTCTCTAGTTCATTTTTTTATTTTTCCAGTATCATGAGGATGGCAGATCTCTGGTTCATTCTTATAGTCTCTGTTTCTAAACTCTCCTTTGGCTTTTATTTCTTTTGTTTGAAAACCCACTTTTTACAAATAAATCTTCCCCGACCCTCTTACGTGTCTCTAGCTCAGTCATACCCTTTTCTCAAAAGCTTCAAAAGAAGAGGTTATTACAATCATCCACTGGAATGTGTAAGATTCATAACAGCACTTTTATTTTATCCCAGCTATATATATCCCTAGCACCTAGAACAGCCTCTGATATATGATAGGTGATCATTAATACTTGCTGAATTAGAAAATGAAACAATAAATCATTCCTATTACCTCTCTAATTCTATCACACTGTGCTTTGGATCTCACACCCTTCCAGTCTTGAGAAACTGGTTCAACCTTACCATTCTGGGTATCTGCCTCTACTCATTCTGCTTATTTTTCTGTTAGGATGCATAAAACTCCCATTTAAAAGCCATCTTGGAAAAATCTTTACTTTTGACTCTGTTTCCATCTTCAAATATTGTGTATCCCATTTGTCTTTTCTATTATATTCAAAACAAAATGAACTAAGAAATCTGTAATATAAAACGTGCATTTCCTCACAGTCTTTTCCTTAACACCTTTAAAACTGGCTTCTGCTATAATAACTCTGATCATTATCCCTCTGAAGTCACCTATTTATATCCCAGTGCTATTCCTTGTCCTACTTATTGATACTAACTTACATATACACATATATATAAACACATACATATACATATATACATATATATGTTTCATAGAAATACATATACACATTATACATATGTAAAGAGAAAGAAATAACCTATCTTGATGCAGGAACTGGTTAATTTTCCTGGAGTTCCTTTTTACATCTCTGATAAATAGTATATGACCATGCTTAATGGATCCACTTTTCCTAGAAGTATTCCTGTGACTCAGACTTTGACCCTTTACTTTTTTCTCTATATTCACTGCCAAGAAGACCTAATTCAGTTTTAAAGTTTTAAATATTAGCTAAAAGGTCATGTGTTTAGAGGATTTGCTTTATTTTTCATTTATTTTAATAGCATAACCCCATGCTTTTACCCAAGTTCACAAAAAGTAGGAATTAACTGTATTTTTTACTTTCAATGCAATAAATCATGATTTTGCTATTTATATTATTTAAATTATAATTTTATAATGGTCATTTTAGTTTTATTAAATGCTAGTGTAATAACTGTTCTCTCACTAATACTTGCTGAATTAGAAAATGAAACAATAAATCATCTGCCTATGCCTTAGGATACAACATTTAAGCAACCTATGCCTCATTTTTCTTATCTTTAAGATGAGGATAATAGTAATTTACCCAATGTAGATCAAAGAAATTTTGTGATGTTTAGATGAGACAATAATGCGAAAACCTTAAAGAATTGCAAAGCACTTTGTAATATAATTATTATGAATGCTGTTGGCAACATATACCTCTATTATGCTGGCATCACTTTTTTCATTTTCATTAATTAACCACTCCAAGTCCTTTTCAAAGTCATCTTCGTATTCTTCACTTTTTTTTGAATCAGTATCTTTAATTTCATTCATTTTCTGTTTGTGAAGGAAATATGCTATAAGATTTCAAAAGATAAGGTATATTTTATGCCCACTCTAGAGGAGGAATGGCATATGGAGATTAATGCTATAGGTAAGCTAAGTAACACAGAGAAACACAAAATGGAATGTTCAAAATGAACATGCACTTGAATACACCATAAAAGAGAGATTTGCAATGGCAAGACATTTCCATAGGTAAACATTCCTAAAAACTCTCCCACCTTCCCCCGATTTCCCAAATAATTATTGATGTTGGTTCCTTTTCCCTCTCAAGATAAATTTTCAGTACACTTTAGGTATGCTGAATTAATAAATAATCCACAAGCTGTTTTAGTCATTAGCTTTGCTTTGTTCTCCCCAAACCTTTGGCCAGACTAAGTTATTACTGAATAATAATGGTTAATTATTCAACTTAATTATTATTGAAAAATAACTGTTACTGTTCAACTGTATAATTATTATTTTTTTCTAAACTATTCATTGGACTATAATTCCTTCCTGATATTTATTTATTTTAAACTAAAAATACAAAGCAGATTTGCTAAAGGACTCAAAAGTAAGCCCTTCAATAATTTCTAAATCAGGTTGAGCACAAATTTTCAAGTGATCTGGAGAAACCAAATCAACACTTCAGAGTGAGTTTCACTTCCTAACTGCAAGACAAGCTAAATTGCTTAAGCTGTTAAGTCTAACTGCCCACCAATTAAAAGCAAGGGCACTATGAATGACACAGAATAAACTAAAACTCACTGTAATCCAAAATACTTACAGTAAAAATAGCACTTTTCAGTCACAATGCCTTGGAATAATCAGTTTTCCTTTCAGAGCAGGGATCTTGAAATTTATTATTTTAAGATGTTTGAGTTACATAAATACGTATCTTTGGAACTCTTCAGTGCTTTCCCTTATTTTATGATAAACATAGTTCTGAACTCATAAATAAATGGTTGCCTGAAGACTTTAGTAGATATGTTTTATTGTTTACAGAGAATCCCACCCACAAGAAAACTAAATTTTAAAATGAAAACATAAGATCTGTATAATAAATTAAAAACACATCAATTAAAAACTTAACAGGTTAGGGATCTTTAAGTCATACTATTATGCCATAATTCAAAGGAAAAAAAAAAGGTCATAGTTAAGGTAACTCTGAGAAGTAAATTAAGTCGCATCAAATCTGAAGTGCGATTCTTTTCCTGTAACTTTAGAAGAAAAAAAAAAAAACCCATGACTGGTTCTCAAGTAAACAAAGAACATAAATTACAAACTCTGGTTATCAAATCCCTTAAGCCTTTTTCAAATGCGTCACAGGATATTCAACCCCTTCAATTCTTCTAATCTTCATCTCCAGGGTACTAGCCATATGGTACACAGTCAACAAGCTAGAACAAAAATACATCTTACACAAACAAAATCACTTAGCACTTCCTACTTTATGCTTGTGAGTTTCACACATTTAAATTTCAACATTTATCATCAGTAAAAATCTAGGTAAGTGGCTTAAACCAACTCTACCCTCTTAACAGGGAACCGTAGAAAGAGACGGAAATCAGTTCCTTCCTCCCTGTCTGGTAAATCCCATGTGGATAGGTGAACTGCTGATCTTTCAGTAGGAGTCTTAAACCAAGTCCATATGTATACATAACTTTGATAACTTTCTTCCAGAATTCAGGATATTCAAAAATAGTTTAATCTAAATAATGGAGTCCCGTCTTACGGCGTTTTAAACATATGCTTGCTTAAAAATCTAAGAACTGAAAGCATGTCAAAGAGAATGCCTTTTAATATAAAATAAGTACTTAAGCAAAAACTAACCCATAACATCATGAAACCATCTGGCCCATTATTCCTGTGTATCCTGCCAAGACTGTGATCCTATAAGTTTTTAAAAAATCATAACCTGTCACAAAGTATAATGACAAATATTTTATGATAATTTTAATCTGTATTCAGGATCCCAAGGTACCACCAACGAAATGAGTATCATTGCCTCTTAATGGAAGCTACAATTTCGGTAGTGACTTTTTCTCCCAGGGACAAAATAATTACTTTCCACGTTCAAGAACTATGAGAGGGGAAAGAATATGACAAAAACTTAGTCTAAGCTACCCTGAGAGAGTTTCCTTCATACGTAGAGAAGCAAGGTGTTACCAGACTTCCCCACCAATGCCAGACTCGGTGGACCTCGGACTCCAGAGGATAAGACGCCACCAGAAAGCTTCTTCCCTCACGACCTACCTTCCCTCCCAGCTCTACCAGACGTTTATACCTTTACCCTCTATCCCACCATTAATATCTCCGCATCGTCCTTCCCTTCTCTCCCTCTATATCCCTCCTGCCTGTGTAAAACGCGGCGGCTGGGGTCACAGAGATGGCCAGGGGAGTTCTCCTCTCCTCCTCTTTCTAAGCTCTTCACATTGAGGCAAAGGAGACCCCGTCACCCGCCTCCGCTGCAGCCAGGACCACACTGCCATGGCAACAGCGTGCCTCTGCGTCCTCCATCCGGGCCTCTCTACGAGAGCGACAAAAACCCGCGCAGGCGCACGCGATATCCCCAGAACACCTACCCCTCCCGGCACCCATCCCGGTGCTTGCAAAAGTCCGGTCAAGCTGAGGTTTCTAAGGGGACGACCAAGGAATCCACGCATCACTAACGTTATTGGAGACTCGCGAAGTGCCGCTGTGTTGGTTGTGAGATTTCCCTCTTGTAGCTATCTCTCGTCAGATTTAGAATTCCTTAGGACAACTTCTAAAACTATATTTCTATATGTTATGTGCTTCGCAGTTAACGTAAAAAAGTAGTTTTTAGTTTTCATTAGTAGATAAGCAAATTGCTAATTAGTTACCATATTTTTGACCCTCAGCTTTTTTTCCGAATCAAAACCAAAACTGTACCCAAGAGAGTTGCCAAAGACAATAGGATTTTTGTTCCAGCTTTGAGGCACATAAAAATGGTCAACTAGAATTTTCTCAAATTCCGCTTATCTTTATGTATAAAGGCAAAGCAAGGTTATTCACTGTTAAAGGTTGAAGGAATTTTAGTCAAATCTCCTTTAATGGATGTAGAGTTGTAGAGTTACTTACCAAAGCTGGAAGTAGACCCTGGGTTTCAGAACTCCTGGGTTAATAGCTTTTTCCTCTGGCCATCCCCCTAAATTTGTATTTTTCAAATAATGGGTACTAGCGGCAATTTTTTTTTAAGTTTCAGTAGGTTTTGGGGGTACAGGTGGTGTTTGGTTACATGGATAAGTCCTTTAGTGGTGATTTCTGAGATTTTGGTGCACCCATCACCTGAGCAGTGTACACTGTCCCCAATATGTAGTCTTTTTTTGTTTTGTTTTGAGACAGAGTCTCGCCACTGGAGTGAAGTGGCACAATCTTGGCTCACTTCAACCTCCGTCTCCCGGGTTCAAGCGATTCTCGTGCCTTAGCCCCCAGAGTAGCTGGAACTACAGGCACACCACCACGCCTGGCTAACTTTTTGTACTTTTAGTAGAGACGGGGTTTCACCATGTTGCCCAAGCTGGTCTCCAACAACTGAGCTCAGGCAGTCCGCCCACCTCAGCCTCCTAACCAATATGTAGTTTTTTTATCCCTCACCCTGCTCCCACCCTTTCTCCCAAGTCCCCAAAGTCCACTGTATCATCCTTGTGCCTTTGCATCCTCATAGCTTAGCTCCCTCTTATAAGTGAGAACATACGATGTTTGGTTTTCCGTTCCTGAGTTATTTCACTTAGAACAGTGATGAATTAACCTCCATTTCCATCCAGGTAGCTACAATGCCATAATTTCATTCCTTTGTATGACTGAGTAGTATTCCAGGGTATGTATGTGTACCACATTTTCTTTATCCACTTGTTGATTGATGGGCATTTGGTTTGGTTCTTTATTTTTGCAATTGCGAATTGTACTGCAATAAATGTGTGTGCAAGTGTCTTTTTCACATAATGACTTCTTTTCCTCTGGGTAGATACCCAGTAGTGGGATTGCTGCAAATGGTAGATCTACTTTTAGTTCTTTAAAGAATCTCCGGCCGGGCGCGGTGGCTCAAGCCTGTAATCCCAGCACTTTGGGAGGCCGAGACGGGCAGATCACGAGGTCAGCAGATCGAGACCATCCTGGCTAACCCGGTGAAACACCATCTCTACTAAAAAATACAAAAAAAAAAAAAAAAGGCCAGGCGAGGTGGCGGGCGCCTGTAGTCCCAGCTACTCGGGAGGCTGAGCCAGGAGAATAGCGTAAACCCGGGAGGCGGAGCTTCCAGTGAGCTGAGATCCGGCCACTGCACTCCAGCCTGGGCGACAAAGCGAGACTCCATCTCAACAACAACAACAAAAAAAAGAACCTCCACACTGTTTTCCATAGTGATTGTACTAGTTTACATTCCCACTACCAGTATAAAAGTGTTCCCTGTTCACCACATCCATGCCAACATCTGTTTTCTTTTTTTTTTTTTTTTTTTTTTTTTTTGCTTATGACCATTCTTGTAGGAGTAAGGTGGTATAGTATTGAGATTTTGATTTGCATTTCCCTGACCATTAGTGATGTTGAGCATTTTTTCATATCTTAATTGGCCATTTGAATATCTTTTGAGAATTGTCTATTCATGTCCTTAGCCCACTTTTTGAAGAGATTATTTGTTTATTCCTTGCTGATTTGTTTGAGTTCCTTGAAGACTAGATATTAGTCCTTAGTCAGATGCAGTTTGTGAAGATTTTCTCCCACTCTGTGGGTTGTCTGTTTACTCTGCTAATTATTTATTTTGCTATGCAGAAGCTTTTTAGTTAAGTCCCATCTACCTACCTTTGTTTTTGCTGCATTTGCTTTTAGATTTTTGGTAATGAAGTCTTTGCCAAAGCCAATGTCTAGAAGGGTTTTTCCAATGTTATCTTCTATAATTTTTATGGTTTCAGGTCTTATATTTAAGTCTTTGATCCATCTTGAGTTGATTTTTGTATATGGTGAGAGATGAGGATCCAGTTTGATTTTTTTACATGTGGCTTGCCAATTATCC